GCCTTCATTTAAGTAGAACTAAAACTGAATACATGAAATGTAATTTTAGTAGTAGTAGCTCTAGTGATAGAAGTGTGACTTTTGGTGATAAAATTATTAAAAGGTGTGAACGATTTAGATATCTTGGGTTTGTTGTTCAAAGCGATGGTGATATAGATGGGGATATTAATAGTAGAATTCAAGTTGGTTGGCTGAAGTGGAAGAATGCTTCGGGCCTTTTGTGAGATAGAAAAGTACCGCTTAGACTGAAAGGAAAATTTTATAAGACGGTGGTTAGACCTGCATTGCTCTATGGCGCTGAATGTTGGCCTTTAAAAGAGAAGCATAATAATAAGTTACATGTTGCCAAGATGAGAATGATTAGGTGGATGAGTGGTTTTACACTTAGAGACAAAATGCGAAATGAATATATCCATGATAGGGTTGGTGTAGCTCCTGTGACGAACAAAATTGGAGAAAGTCGTCTTAGATGGTTTGGTCGCATTAAACTTCGACCATCTGATGTCTGATTAGGAGAGTAGATGTTTAGATTTGACTTGTGTTAAGAAAGACAGAGGTAGACCTAGGAAGACTTGGGCTTATTGTATAAAAAATGATCTTAATTTTCTAGAACTAAATGAAAATATAACACTAAATGAAAAACAATGGAGAAAAAGGATTCATGAACACTAAATAGGACCACAATGGAGAAAAAGGATTCATGTAGCCGATCCTATGCAGTGGGATTAAGGCTTTGTTGTTGTTGTATTCATATTGGAATGCTGCATGAAACTGTAACTGGATATGTTGGTCTTTGGCGTCCAATTAGGGGTGTGAACGATCTGATTTCGAGCCGCTCTCCGGCTGACCGGCTCAAAATTAGATCTAAATTTTTATAACCGGATCGAAATCGGACCGTGGATCAATCATACCAAATTTCGATTTGATCTGGCGTGGATCAATCTGATTTTCGAACTGGCTCGAATGTCATTTTTGGCTCGTGAGCCAGATCGGTCTAGCTTGAACCAACCTTGGCCCGCTCGGCTAGACCATAAGTAAAAACTACAATATTTTTGTGAAAGAGGAGATTCAAATCCCTACCACTCCATACAAGTAAAAAATCCCTCACCAATCAAATTGGCAATTCATTGTGCATGTAAAACTAAAAGTTTAGGTATTAAATATGTAAATAAATAAGAATTTATTTTGATCTCGATCCGATCCCGATCCCAATCCCGATTCGAGCCGAGGACAGATCGAAATTGAATCGAAATAAATTTGATCATTTAAATTTATTTCGATCCCTCACCAATCGAGTTGCCAATTCATTATGCATGTAAAACTAAAAGTTTAGGTATTATATATGTAAATACATAAGAATTTATTTAGATTCCAATCCGATCCCGATTCGTGTCGAGGACAGATCGAAATCAGATCGAAATAAATTTGATCCTTTAATTCGGCTCGTAGCTCAGCTCGAATGATTCAATCCAAGCTCAAATTCGATCTGAGCTAAAATTCAATCAAATTTTCGAGCGATTTACGATCTTAAGCCAATTTCACAGCTTTACATCCAATTAGTTATCCCAAAGGAGAAAGTCATCCTCACCATCTTTGCCGCATAATTTGAAAAACGAAGAAATCTTGGGTTTTCATCTGCAAAAATAGCCTTTTCAGGAACTTTCTGATTTGATTGGCCGACTTGTTGAATAATCAACTTCTCTCGATGATATTTCTCTAGATATGGATGATGTTGATGGCTCCTATTCTTAGCTTGCATTAGAGGAGCAACAAAGGAGAGTTCTCTCGCGATCCTTCTGCTTATTCTTAGACGGTGTTGTTTGATAATGTTCTAGTATTCGTAGAAATTAGTCAGGAAGGATTTCTATGCTGTCAGATGCCTGAACACTGCAGAGAAGAGTGATACTGATGGTAACATGATTTCACTGTTGCAAACGTATATTATTTCAGATTGGGATCATCAAATGGGCATGAACTTACAATGCTTGTGCTATACCACACACCTACTATTATGTTAATTATGAGAGATTTCTTTCTATTGCAAATGGCCTTCTTGATTCATTTCCAGCTTCATATATATGATGAGGGATGTTTTGATATATTTAAAGTGAATTTTTGAATAAGTCCACAAATATATTATTTATTTTCTAAGTTAATAAACTGAAAACTTCATGAGTCACTTTGGGTACATTGTCCATAGGAAATGGGATTCTATAATGATGATTCTGATTTATTTATTATTTTTTTTTTGGTTTATATTAGGATTTCCTTTGGATACAGTGTACATAGGAAAATATTGCACTCAATAGGACACAATGGATAAAAAGGATTCATGCAGCCTGCCCCACTTAGTGGGACAAAGTCTTGTTTTAGTGGTTGTTACATGATAGGATTTCCCTTTGCCTATATTGGGGATCCACGCTTTGATTTGAGATCTTTCTAAACCTCTATGCTCCTCTTCTTAGTGTAATGAATTATCCAAGGCTTGTCTTCTTGGTAAACCTTCATATGCTTAAGTGAGTTTGAAGTTCTCTTCATGCTTTCGTACACTACTGTTTGTGGGATTATGTTCTCGGGTTTGTTAGAATGTCTCATCAACATTTATGGAAGGAGATTTTAAATTTTATGAGTCAGTATATTTAGGAAGTGAAAGGGTTTCATGAGTTTGGCAAGCACTACATTTCACCTTCCTCGTTCTTCTTTTCTTCGAAGGATGAGCGACGAAGAAATGGCTCTTGTGGTAAGCTTTTAATTATTTGTATTGTTGTGATTTTGGTAGTGGTGTGAGGGTGATAAGAGTGATGATGGATGGTATTAAATTGTTGTAAGAAATTTGCATAGAGGTGGATGAAAACTAATAATAATTATGGCAAGCCATTGATTCACGACTAAAGGCCCCTATGTTGTTTCATTAGGGTAGTATTGAAGAAGTAATTGCTCATGAAAGACCTGTTCTATTCATTAACCACTTGGGTTTATATAGGGCCTTCCAACATTTTATAAATAAATTCCTAGACTTCTTCTATATTCCCTATTTACAATTAGGACTCTAAACTAGATATACATCTCAACAAGCATTTTCTTAAATGAATTCCTATTGAAACGCTTAGTGGCCTAATAAATGTTGGCGGGCCTAAAGATTTCTGATATTGAACTTAAACCAAGTATCTTTAGAAGTTATAATGACACTATTCTAGTGCCTGATTAAACTGCGATTCCTTGTCCTCAAACTTGAATTTTCAAGAAAGAATTAAAAAATGTTAAGTTCGCCATTTTTGCTTAACATTCTGAACTAACATAAGGAAATTTTCTAAAACCTGCACATGAGTTGTTTGCCAAGACATTGGTTAGTTTATACCTTTTTTTTTGTGAGGTAGTTATTCAAATAATCATCTTTTGTTCAAAATTCTAGCTTGTATTTAACTTTCTATTAATGGAATATGTAACCCTGCTTTCTTATCCTTTGTTTTTTATTTCCAATAGGTTTATTTCTTTACCCGCCGCTTGATGATCATACCTCTTTAGTCTTTTAATTAACTATGCAAGCATCTTTCAGTAATTTGTTGGCGAAATTATTGATTTGCAGGATGCTGTGTTATTCTGATCTTTTTTGTGCTAAACCTTATTTATTTGACAATATTATTTCTTTATGCTTTAACTGTTAGATGCTCCTCGCTTAGTTTGACGTTTTGAATGGTATGCTAGATCGACAATTCTTCCGTTGCCTGGTTATAATAAAGATTCTTGATTTGAGAAGGTTGAAATTATGATCAAATGTTTTCTTATTTTGTGAGATTTACTTAAAGAACTTTTATTTGAGAGAAAGAAATAGTTTATATTGTTTGAATTTCATTGTTATTTGTGAAATTTCTTTAACTTTGATTTTGCCCAACCATCAGAATACTTATTTTAAGCTGCGCTACCAATAACTTAACTTATGAAAGTTAATCCAACAAACTTTTCAGGACTTTATGGAAGATTATGAAGTTATGGTTCCTTTTCAATCTCTTGGAGCTCTTGGTTGCAAGGTTGATGCTGTATGCCCTAACAAGAATGCGGGTGATCTATGTCCAACAGCCATCCATGATTTTGAAGGCGACCAGACATATAGTGAAAAAATTGGTCATAATTTTGCTTTGAATGAGCAGTTTGATTCTGTGGATATCTCTAGCTATGACGCACTTGTAATACCAGGAGGTCGCGCCCCGGAATATCTAGCTTTGGATGAGAAGGTCATTGATTTAGTGAAGCATTTCATGGATACTAAAAAGCCAGTTGCATCTATCTGCCACGGCCAACAAATATTATCTGCTGCTGGAGTTCTCAAGGTGATTTCAATAAGCTTTTATCTCTAGCTCACATTATCTTGCTCAATATTTCTGCTGAAGTATATTTGCCTTGTGGTATGTTAGGTTATTGATTTAATTTAGATGGTTAGAAACAATGCCATTGCGTTTTTTACATGTAATTTTTTTTCGCCTGCTATGTGGTCAATATCTTGTTTGTTTTGGTAGTATATTTCATAAAATTATTGTGAGAATAGCACCATAGAATCCATGTAGAAGTTGACATATTATGAAACAGAGCTGAAGACATGTACTTGTTACCAAAAAAATAAGATTATTGCATTGTCTATCTTTTAATAAACATTGGAGTTGGGCAGTAGGATATCACTAGTAACAGTCAATTAGCTAGTCCATAAAATTGAAATTTCCTTCAGTATTCTGAATGTACCACACAATAATCTAATCATGAGGGGCACTTTATCAGTTGTGTATTAGGTTGGAAAAATGATATGATACTACAAAAGATGTTAGTCTTTGTTCATAGTTGAGTATACTATATATCAATATCAATTAAACTAGCAATCATTATATTGTGGGGTAAAATAGAGGCATACATAGCTTAAGATTTGGTAGCAGAGTTGACCTCAAAAAAATTTCCAGTATAGGAATATTGAGAATTCAATCTTATTGAGGGTATTGTAATACCCTATTTAAGCCCATGTTATGAATGTACAAAGTAGGTTTTTAAATAAAATTTTTTTCATGGTATCAGCGCTCTCACACTAGTAGCCGTCCTTGGTGCTCGATATTCGGGATCGGGCTTACAGAGACCCGAAATAGTCGCGATTGGAAGTTACCAGAGATGCTAACGACGGGATCGCACTTGAAGGTTGGCTATAGCGATTCAGTCGCGATTGGAGCTACCTGGGACGCTAAACAAGAGATCGTGAGTCGCGAATGGAGCACCATGACTGGAATTGGGAAGCCAACAATGGGATCACGACTTGGAGCTTCGTCATACAATCACGATTGGAGCTACCTAGGGAGGCCGCGATGGGATCGCATCGATATAATTGCAATTAGAGCTAACTGGGAAGACAACGACAGGATCACGACAGACAGACGCAAAGGATGTGTGATTTAGGCTTGGATCCTTGTGATTGAGGATGTTAGGAGATTGAGATAGTAAGAGGTAAAAGATTGGAGCTTCTGTAAAAGATAGATCCCGAAGTTCTGAAGGTCTTGGTTGGACTCATACAGGAAACAAGCGTCTCAAAGGGAGCCACTACTAGCTCTGGACGTGCTCCGACGCAGGTAAAGCTAGTGTAAAGTAAACTACTTTGAAAGAGTCATCTTCTAATTTCACCGCGGAATAGGATTACAAGATTTGAGAAAACCAGAACAAAAAATTTAAGAATACAGAACCAAATCAACCAGAAAAGCACACAAAAATTTGACATCGAAAAACCCAAAAATAAGAAAAAACCATGGAGACACCACAAAAAAGTTTCATTATGTAATTTAGAAAATTTTACAAAGGATTAACACAAGTTTCTTCTCCACACTCACATGAAAAAAATTATAGAACTTGCACCAACGATGTTCGCTCTTCAATCTGACGCAAAAATCATGCCTGAATCTTCGAAATCCACCTCTTCGACAAACTTCACCTTCACCGGGATGCTCGTCGAAGAATTCAGAAGAAAGAAACAACAATCATTAAGAAACTTATTCGAATTTGGCTTAAAAAACCAAATTTTCATTTATTAACAACACAGGGCGCTTAGGCGCCCAATCTTAGCTCCTAAGTGTCAAGCGCTTTGTATCAGCACCCCCCATAATGAGCGCCTAGGCTCCAATAGACGGACACCTATGCACCGTTCTCTCGGGAAAACAAACAACGCCCGCACCACATTTGGCGCTTTGCACCGTCCTTTCTATTTCTTAGCCTTTTAACGCGTTTGAGCGCCATGGCCAGCCTTAAATGCTTTGGCTACACATTACATAACAATCTCCCACTTGGAGACAAAACACTGAGTACCGGTCTTCAGTGCCTGTACCTCCATCTTAATCGCTTTCATAGACACTTATCGTAGTGTGGTTCACCCTCGGTCCTAACCTTCATAAAATCCAACTGAAGTCAAACACAACTTCAGTTTCTCAACTGTCGCCACCTTCGTCAACATATTCGCAGGATTATGAACTGTGTTTCTTTTCCAGAAATAACTGCACATCTTTTAGAATAGATCAAATAAAATGATATCTCACTTGGATATGTTTCGTCCTGGCATGAAAAGTAGTGTTTTAAGCAATATGAATCACACTCAAACTGTCACTATAAAGCTTTCAAATTCCTTGCACCTTACCCAATTTTTCCATGAAGTTTTGTAGCCAAATTATCTCTTTACTAGTCTCAATGATAGCAATATATCGGCCTCTATAGTTGAAACTGCAAGGATCTTCTGTAACCTGGAAAGCCAACTCACTGTTGTGTTCCTCATTGTAAAGATATTCTTTGTTGTACTTCTCCTACTATCCACATCTCCTGTCAGATTTGAATCTACGAATCTCTGTAGACTGATCTCTGCATTTATATAACAAAGAGCTCTGTTGACTGTTCCTCTCAAATACTTGAGAATCCACTTTACCGTCTCCCAATGATGCTTGCCTGGATTGCCCATGTACCTACTTACTACTCCCACTGCATTTGCAATATCTGGTCTAATACAAATCATCAAATACATCAAACTTCTAGCTGTTGAAGCATACAAAATTCTCTCCATCTGTGTCTGCTCTGCTTCAAAGTTTGGCGATAGCTCCTTAGATAGTTTGAAGTGACCACCAAAGAGAGTGCTAACTGGTTTCGTCTCACTCATCTTGAACCTCTATAGGATATTCTCAACATACTATGTCTGAGACAATTTTAGTGTTCCTGTAGTCTTGTCTCTACTCATCCCGAGGATCTTCCTAATTGAACCTAAACCCTTCATCTCCAACTCACTTCATCTCGAACTCACTTGATAATTGATTCATCTCAAACTCACATACAAAATAAGCAAAATATAACAGTTACCAAAGTGTTTGATAAAACAAGAGTGATTTGCCTGACACTTCATATACCCATTGTCTGACATGAATTTGTATAACATCTTGTACCAGTGTCTTGAGACCTGCTTCAAGTCATAGAGACTCTTCTTCAATTTGCAGACCAAATCTCCTCCAGATCTCCACATAAGAAAGTTATTTTAAATTCATCTGCTCCAGATGTCGATCTTCTTTTGTTGTCAGACTCAGCATAACTTTGACAGTCGTCATCTTCACGACTGAGGAGAAGATCTCTATGTAATCCATTCATTCCTTCTGTTGGAAACTCTTTACAACAAACTTTGCCTTGTAGTGCTTGGTACCATTTGACTCATCTTTCAGCTTGTAGATCCACTTATTGTGCTGCGCTCATTTGTCATTTGGTAGTATCGTCAAATCTCAAGTCTGATTTGACTCTAAAGATTGTATTTCTTCATCCATGGCTAGCTCTCACTCCCTTGAATATTCAACTTGAGTAGCCTCCTTAAAGCACTCTAGTTCACAACTATCAGTTAGTAACAAAAAGTGTGAAGAAGGAGAATACCTTTGTATGAGTTATTTCATTTTGCTGGATCTTCTAACTTCTGTAACAGGAAACTGAGCAACTTTTAGTGTTTCTTCTGGTTGAGCTCATCTGAGCTATATCCAATGAAGGTGCGCTTGACAGATTTTGAGTCAAGCTTGCTCTTAAATACTCTTAAATGAGATAGACATACATTTTTGTCACTCCATGCTTTTTCAGGTAAGCCTTCCTTCAATGGTACTGCTGGACTACGGTTGATCAGTAAACTGTAGTGTTTATTGCTTCAACCCAAAACTATTTTGACAAGCTTGCATGTCGTCTCATGCTCCTAGCACACTTCGTGATTATTCTGTTCATGCGCTCAGCCACAAACTTCTGCTACGGTGTCCTTCGGACAGTGAACTAATGTCTGACCCTCTCTGAAGCACATAAAATTTTGAACTTCTCCCTCATTATCTGAACTGAGATATTTCAGCTTCATATTTGTCTTATTTTCTACAATAATTTTTCATTTATTAGAGGCTTCAAATACATCAGATTTCTGCTTTAAGAAATAAACACTTCCCTTTCTCATGTGTTCATCAATGATGTGACAAATAGCAATAACCTCTAATGGACTGAACTAGAGTAGGATCTCATATGTTAGTATACACTGACTCCACTTTATTTGATTTCATCACTGACTCACTCTTGGAGAATGAAACATTCTTTTCCTTGTCATAAGTACAATATTCACAGTAATCTAGATAAACTAATTTCAGACCCTAAAGCTTTTTCTTTGAAAATAAGGATTCATACCTTTTTCGCTCAAATGGCCAAGCCTATGGTGCTGTTGTGCTCCACATTTTCTCCATTGTATGGGTTTCTCCTAAGATGGGGTTCGAATTGGGTGCTCAACTGAGTGCACTCTTATTGTCTGATACTGGGTCAAACTCTGTCTGTAAGGTATGACAGTCATCTGGTGGTGTTGTTTCTCGACTTTAAAGCTTGGGTTTGTATATCGAGTAGGAGGCAATGCATTACTAATAAACAATTTTAGTATTCCAATATATCTCCTTATTGTGTGCTCCTTTGGTTCCACCAACTCACATTAGCATGAGTTGATCAAATTTTGTTGTGCGCTCAATGGAAGAATCTCTATGGTGTTGGTGGTGGAGTTTAATGAACATATCTTATCGATAATGTGGGTGAAGTTATTTGCATTGTATCTCCATTTTCATTTTAGACCTGGTGGTGATCTTACTATTCCCTTTGTGCTGTCGAATATGCTTCAGGTTTTAATACCACAAAGAAGGGTTCTTCCTAAGCTTGATAGCCACCAATTTAACTCTCTTATCCTATGGAACATCTTTGTACTAAAAACAATTTTCTACCATTCAGAGCCACTCAATAAATTCCTTTGGATCCATACAACTGTCAAAATCTTGTAAATTCACTTTTACTCCAAGCTCCTTGCCTTTGTCTAATGTTGTATGCCAAATCGCTTGGGTATTGGTTATTTTTTACTGGAAACTTCTTGATGCAAGTGATTCGCTTTCTCCCCTCGATGTGATGATTCACCGTTGTGGTTATAGGTAACCTTACCGGAATGTCTCCTCTCAAAGGCAAGGAATTATTGTTGCACGTGGGTTTCCTGTTACATACCTTCCATAGTAATTTTTTGAACACCTTGTTGAAGGTTTCTCCTTGGCGGTATGATGTCATTTTCTCTCAATTTTCGACGGATATGGTATTGCAAGTCAAGATTTTGGGGGCTTAGGTTTGTTCGTAGGTGTTGGGGTGAAATTTTGATGAAGGAAGGAATGTTGGATTTTGAAAATTTAGGATTGATGTTAGAAATTATTTTAGAAATTGTTTGGGTATGGGTTAGGATTTTTTTTTTTTTTTTTGGAAATCTTAGGTTTGGGTCTGGAGAGATAAATCTATAAAATATAAGGTTTGTCGGGCTCTGATATCTGATGTTACCGTTTTATGTATAATACTATATGATATTGTATTAGGGAGCCTAGATGTGTTTGGGAAGTGGATTGAGTGAGTAGCTAGTTGTGGATAAACAAGGGAATGATAATGTGGGTAGTTTAGGACATTTGGAGCGGAATACACGACATTTGGTGGCTGTGACGACTGAAGACGACAAAGAAAACTCCGAAACGATTATGGGCGGGTAGTTCCGCCGTCTATTTCTGAGCATGATACAAACATACCATTTGGAAAAGGAAAATCATACAACATTTCTTATGATAGAAATCATAAATACACTGTCTAAAAAAAAAGAACTAAAAAATCTACCAAAAAAAGAAATAATAATATAAATAGTTCCCTCTAAAAAAACCTTAATTCCAACTAAAGAAATGTTGAATATAGGACCACAAGGGCTGGCGGCATCTCCATACGGAAGAATCCCCGATAGCAATCCTTATGGGATGGGATACTTGTTTTTTTCCGCAGATGTGGGATCGTGAGATTGGAGGAACCCGCAAAATCTTGGAATCTTGTGAATACAAGATCGTGGACCTCGTGTGAGACGTTGCCACATCACTAAGGCTTAGTTTGAGGGGGTTTTTTGCTCGCGGCCCAGCTTCATGCCATGATTCTGCATCGTTTAAGGGGGCTTTTCGCCTGCAGTGCGGTGTAGTTTTGATAAAACACAGGCCGCAGATTCGTTCTCGTGACCCGCATTTCTTCTCTTTATTTTTACTGTGTTGCCCCTTTGCGATTTGATTAAAACTTCATGTTCGTCGTCTGCCCTAACCTTTCCCTGCAGAGCTCTCGCTTCCTTTGCCCTAAGCTCTAAATGTCTTCTTCCTCTGGCCAGTGTTTCCTCTGCCTTAAGCTCTCGTTCCGGACGTCTTCTTTTTCCGGTATCCCGTTTCCCTATCTCGTTTATGCCTTCAGAAACACTAGCCAGAGGGGTTGAGGATGGTGGTGATGGAGTCGGTGGTGTTGGTGTTTTTGTTTGTTGTGAATTTGAGAAGAAGAGGTCTTATAGGGGATAGGTTTCGGCTAGTGTCTCTGTTTTCTGCGTCTGTGAATCTGTTTGTTGTGCTGTGGTGTTGGATTTCTATTATCTAATGTTGGATTTGTGGTTGGTTAGTGTTGGATTGTTGTGTTGTTGTGTTGGCCAGTATTGTTGTGTGGTGTGGTGTGGTGGTTGGGGGTTGTGTTGTAATGTGGGTTGGAGTGCTGTGATGTTTTGGGGGGTGCTGTGATGTGGGTTGTGGTGACTCTGCTGTAGGTTGTGGTTGTTGTGTGAACACAGGGCACATGTGGTTGTGTTGTGTTGGCCTTGGATTTTGGTGGTTGGTTGTGCTGTGGTACTTGTGTTGTTGTTCTGTCATGTGGGTTTGGGGCATATTTGGGTGCATGTTGGCTTCAGATTCTGTTGTGGGTTGTGTGATTGTGTTGTAGCTGTGGGTTGGGGTGGTGGTTGTGGGTTGGGGTGCTATGTTGGTGGCTTATGGGGTTTATGGTTAGGATGGTGGTTGTGGGTTGTTAAGTGAGGTGTATATTTTATTTTTTTTACTGTTTTGAAATAAATTTTCGTTTCTCAAGTATCAAATATATTGTTATAACAATTTTGTTACAAACAACATGACTACACGGGCGGAACGATCCTTTGTCCAGAAACAGCTGTTTTCAAACTACAAAAAACAAATAACCAGTCAGCTTATCTGCAACAGTTTCTTGGGACAGTTTTGTGTAGCAGCTTATTGATAAGCTGCAGCTACCCCAAACAATCCCTAAATCTTGAAAGTTTTGATGTTGAAAACCATAAGAAATTAATTGCTAGAAAGCATGATTATTTAAAGTCATACTATAAATTGCAACTTGCTACTGTGTTCTAAATCCAAAAGAATTTATGTTAGTCAAATTCTCTTTTTATTTGATCTAGCTCTTTTCTGAATCGTCAGCGAATAGCTTAGATCCTTCTCTTTTTCATCATCTTTCTATCTCCTCTAATCAAATGTCTGCATATTCTTAATCATTAATACTAGTTTTGTTCCTGAAACTGTTTTTGTAATAAAATTGTCTATTATTTAGTTAAGCGGATATTAAATTTTTTGAATTGGTATGAATTATTGAAGTATTGTAATTTGAAATGCTAAACAAAATTGATTGTGTTTTATGCTTATTCATCTTGACATAGAAAGAGGACAATTCTGTTGCTCTATTTTTTTTTTCCTGATTCATCAATGCTCATGCTGTCTGAGAGTGAACTTTGTGATACTGGATACGATGCCTAACACTCTTTTTTCAGGCAACTCGGCAATTTTAAATTCTTTTAGTAGTCAACTACACTAGATATCTAACAACCAAACTGTTGGAATGGCATTTCTATTTGCAATTGAATTGTATCTGTACCATTTACCATTAAATCTAAGATCCCTTGGTCGTTTCACCAGATTTCAATGTGGATTAGCCAATTGATTACATTCAAGCTTTTTTGTAGATAAATCCCAACGATTATCATTTGCATGCTCAACCATTCTTATGGATGTTCATTTCAGTTGTTCTATAATTTTTTTTCCTTCCAATCAACATCATATTTTTCCACCACCTGTTTATGCAATAGCCTTAAAATATACTTTGTTACGTTGATTCAAGTATTTTGTTGTGAATCCACACACAACGGGTAATTAGTTAAGAGTTGATTTCAATGTTACTCTTTTCATCTTCCTATTCCTTTGGAGTGACAGTACAGCTCAAAGTGCTCTAATTAGGATCTTGGATGTAGGAGAAACGAAAATGTCAAAAAAAAAAAAAGGGTTGTGGGTTGTTAAGCCCGGAATGGTGATGTGCGAAATGCCATATTGGAAGATGGGTTACGGCCTGTTATGAACAAAAAAACATATTAGCATCCACATTTGGTATAACAACAATGAAGAGTTCATAATAGTATTTGAAGTAAATTCAGTCCCAATTTAACCCATTTACAGATGTTGCTCTGAAAGATGTAATTAACGTCAGATTAGATAAATTCAACTTTTCATGCGATGATGCCAAATGGTCTTAGCAACTTCTGATTCTGTATTCCGTTGCATGCAAAGACTATCTCAACTTCTATGGAGATAACCAGATTAACTACAATGTCATTGTCTTAGTGTCAAATGCTTTCTCATTGCCTGGCCACCAGATAATGGGTTTCGCAGAGGGGTTAATGTATGCAGTGTTAACCTTCCATTTGAGATGGAGGCTATTTTCATAACGTGAAGTATTACTTGCCCACCTACTTCCTTTTGAATTGATTTTAATATACAAACACCCTTGACTAGAAAACTCGTTGATTGATTGATTTCATAGTAACTATTGCTTTATGCTGCAGGGAAGAAAATGCACAGCATACCCCGCTGTAAAGCTGAATGTTGTGCTAGGAGGAGGAACATGGCTGGAGCCAGATCCAATTCACCGCTGCTTCACTGATGAAAATTTAGTGACTGGTGCTGCTTGGCCTGGACATCCGGAGTTTATTTCTCAGCTGATGGCGTTACTTGGTATTACTGTTTCATTCTGAATAAGCAAAGTTAATAGTATTTGTGAACCTGATGGAGATGAGCTAGAAGGAATGCCCTTGTTCTTTTTTGTTATGAGAGTGCAATACTATGTAATCTAGTCTTCTCTTAATAAATGAAAAAGATTTGACTTTGTAATCTCAACAATTGAGCAAGGCCTCATGAAATTTTTTTCATTTTTGAGTTTTTAACATAAAAAAATAAACAAAATTTTGAAATAGGTATCCTTTTCTTCAGATAAGCTACTTCATATCTATGAAAATTAATTTTTTATATAAGCAACTGACCATCCACGTAGTCATTCAGGGCAACTTGCTACTGGTGACGTGGACACACAATCGCCCGTTGAACCGGCTGATTAATATAATGTAACAATTTTTAATTTATTAACTAAAATAAAATGCATGATATATAATGCAGATTAGAAGTCTAAATTAAATATTTTCTTCTTCGACTAAAGATTTAAATAAATCTAAAACAATATTTAATAAAAAAAACTTTGAAAACATGATGAAACACAGTTTTGTCAAAAGAGCTTGTTGTTTGTGAATAGCTCTGTGTTCAGTTTGTTAAATAGCTCGTGTTTGATTCATTTGTCAAGCAAACGAGATGAATGCTAATTTTGTCTCGAAAAAATTAAATTGGCTACAAGTCTATAAAAATTTATAATCAATTAAAATTATTAATTTAAAGATTGAAGAAATAGATATTAAATTCAATTTCAATGAACATTTTAATATAAAAAATAAGATTTATATCAACCTTTTATGTGTGATTGCATTTATTAAAATCGAATGTTATTCGTGAATAGTTTGTGTTCAGCTCGCTATGCAAACGAGATAAACATAAAAAAAAATTTTAAGCTCCATAAATAAATTAATCAAATACATATAGTAATATTTTTAAGGAGCCATACATAAAACGAGTATGGGCTCGAAAAAAATTATTTCATACGTACGGCATATGCAGAGATGTATGCACCGTCCAATTTTCACTGTTGGTCATAATTTTTATCAATTTTTTTTTTTAAATAGGCCCACCAAAATATAACTTTAATCTAATCAAATGATGTAAATCAGACGGGGCATCCACTGCATAAGCCGTTCGTATAGAATAATTTTTCAGGGGCCCAGCTCGTTTACACCGTTGTGAGCACCTAAACACTCATCACAACATGTGGCCGGCGCATTCTCCCTTCCTCGGCCAGACTCCAATCCCTACTCGCCTGACACCTCCACTGTACCGCCACCACCGCCGCCCCTTCCCTGTCTCCTCCTCCTCCTCTCCCACTTTCAACCCACTCACCACCTTCAGCCGCCTACTCTGGGGCCGTTCCCTACCCCCCACCGCCCTCATCTCCCTCGCACGCTCCTCCTGGTCCGCCGCCTGGCATCTCATGATGCAGCAGCTCGCCCCTTCAACCCCTTCCGGCTCCTATTCCCGCCCTCCCTCCCCCTTCCCCGGGCTCACCGCACCCTCATCGTCCGCGCCCTCCGATCCCTCGAATCGCTCATCCCCCTCTCCCTCGTCTTCCCCGGCCGAGATGGATTATGGGAATTGGGATCTAGGGATTCTGCAAGTGGTTTCCGCACCTTGAGAGAGGTGTATGCGCTTCGATCCGGCGGGTATGATGGCCGATCGACGGTGCCGATGCTTTGGGATTCGGAAGTTCGGGATGTCGCCTGCAATGAGAGCTATGGCATCGTTGAGTTCTTCAACGCGATCGGGTCCGGCGGGGATGATCTCGCGCCGGAGCATCTCCGGCGGGAGATTGACGGCTGGAATGCGATCGTTTATCCCAAGATTAACAACGGCGTATACAGGTATGGATGGAAAAGGCTATTTCAAATAACTCCATTTGAGCCATCTTATTTTGATTTTGAGTCAGACTGAGTCGATTTGGAACTCGATTCAGTTTTGGGCCGAGTTGCTCAAAATCAAGCTTAACGAGCGATGAGCTCGAACTCAATCCAATCAAGCTGATTTTGAGCTAGCCACAGGCCTACTCGAAACCGGCTCGTTAATAGCCCTAATTGTAGGACATGTAAGTACATGGTTTGGACAGTTCAAAAAAATTATTTGAATGTTAATTTTATAAATAACAATATTTCAAATGCTGCTAATACAATTATCTCATTTTTAAAGGATAATATTTAATGCCTTATAAGATAAAGATAATCCTCTAAATTAGGAGAAAATAATGAGTTCGGAGTCCGGATGAGATGCACAGAGTACAGGAGTGGTGATTTTTTTTTCTCCACTGTATCACCTGCATCACATTGTGTCTGAATTCCGAACGTAATATTTTTCGGTAAATTAGTTATTGCCTTCCAATTTTACTGGATTTACTTGTTATGGCATTTATTCCTAAGCACTTTAATTAATGTGTTTTATTGGATATTTACCATCTGCCACATCTAAGATTTGGATAATCAATAATCACGTAGCTCCTCAGGTTTAGGAGAAAAATTTGCGTACGTAAGACGTGAGCTGCATACATCAGAGGTTATTTAGAGAATATTGCGAGTTTATAGGTAGGTTACAAAGATGTTACAGGGGTGTATCCCACCTATAACCCCCCAATATTCTCTCAATAACCTCCGACATATGCAACTCTGCGTACGTCTTACGTGCACAAATTTTTCTCCAGGTTTAGTAGAATATGTTATTCATTCATCCAATTTTCATTAAATAAAAAATCAAATCATTTTTTAATTAATGGTTGAACATTTTTTTTCAAATTATGTTGAAACTTATAGTTATACCAAAAAAAAATTTATGTTTATATATATACTATATTTAAATATTATTTTATATATTACTTTTTATGAAAGTCACCTCGAAATATATGCATAAATTTATGTTTTTTTTTAGATAAATTGATGTTAATAATATTTTTATACGGTTTAATATTTAAATATTTTATAAATAAATGTTACAAATTAAGTCTTAGAAGTTCATGAAACTTTTGTGATATGTACAGAAATCCCATAAAAGCCATAATGTTATGCATTGCCTTGTAAGCTAAGCATTGAAAAAAAAAATTTAAAAAGGGAACATTTATAAGTAATGTGAAACCCTTTAAGTAGATTGAAGTTGAATCGATCGATCTTTTGGTGTAACAATAGAATTTAAGTATACACTCTAAAGTTAAGCGTGCTCATGATGATGTGTTCTTAGGATGAGAGACCTCTGGGAATTTATGAATGAGACAAAATGAGATCATTACATCAAAACAATCAATATCTTCAGAGGTAAGAGTTCAAGTTAGCACAAATGGTATTTGAGCATTATACCAGCAAGGAAATGAGAATTAAGTGTCGTACATAACAAAATATTACGTCATGAGAGCCACCTCTTGAACCCTGAATAGGAAAATGTGCTACACGATTGGAGCTATCTCTTGAATCTATAGGGGCCACTTCTAGAATTCTATCTGCTTGACGAATGATTCTGGTTATAAAGAAATTTGATGATGTTAGGTACTTAAGTGGAAGAGATTGTGAAACTCATTAAATAGATTAAAGTCGACGTTAAGCCGTCTTTCGCTATAACGATGAAATTTCGATAGAGACTCCAAACTTAAACATGCTCATGATGGAGCATTCTTAGGATCAGTGAGTTAAGACTGTCACAAATGATATCTAAGCATCACACCAACTGGAAGAAGGGAACAAGTGTCATACATAACTAATTGTTATAATATGATAGTCACCTCTTGAAACCAACACCAATACATTGGATCTTATCAAAACTCCGCAGTCAATCATCCTTGTGTGAGTGGTCCTAGTGTTGATGAAAGTGGAGCCCGGTCCATTATTTCGATTTGGCAAGAATCTGTTATGACAAAATATTTAATTGTTAATTAAATATTTACTTCCTTAAAGATTTCCCTCCAAGCCAATTGCCTGAAAAGCTTCATGCAGAATCTCGTGAGATCTTGGAAATCCTCCTCTTATTTACTTAATTAGTTTCGTTTGTTTCTTATAAAAGGCTAAACCCACCTGCTCTCCAACACATCCCACAAACTCCTCTTCAGCTAAAACTTGAAGGAAAAGGAAAAAAGAAAAGCTTTTGCCTTTAGTTTCTTTTTTTTGGCTTAAAAGAAAAATTATTTGTTGTGTTCCTTTCTCGTGGCTTTGAGAGAGAGGAAGAAGAGGTGAGGAAGAGGAGAGAAAGGAAGAGAGTGATTATTCTTTCTTGTAAACGTCGAGACACTCGACGGTGTAATTCCTCGAAGTAATAAAATCTTCTGCAGCTCCGTGGACATAAGCAATTTGCCGAACCACGTAAATCTTGTGTCGTCTTTTTCTGGTGTAATATTTTATCTGTTTTTCGCTTCATTTTCGTTGTTTTTTTTTATAAAACCTAGTATGAGTGACATTTTGGGAAGTTGTACTAGCTGAACAAAACTCTGATACCATTATGCCAAAACGGACAATACCGTGTCGGTGAGAGTTCGGGGTGTCAAGAATAGGTAACGACTAAGGTGGCATATATATATAATTTGAGGTTGAACCGCGTTCCTAGGTCCGTTGGTAGAGCATCCGTTTTGGCCGTGTATGTCCCCTCTGACCTAGAGTTTGAATCCCACCTCTCGCGACTATTGCTTAAAAAGAGGGGGTCCTGGCTCACGCTACCTAGCGTCAACCAATCTTTTTGATTATATATATATATATATATATATTCCTTTCTTTTTTTACCTGTTCGGCTTATTTCTCCTTTCAATTACAGATGCGGCTTCGCGCAGAGCCAGGAGGCCTATGACGCCGCCGTCTACGAGCTCTTCACCGCCATGGATGCAGTCGAGGAGCATCTTTCTTCCTCCCGCTACCTCTGCGGCGATACTTTCACATTAGCAGATGTGTGCCTTTTCACGACATTAATCCGCTTCGATCTGGTTTACAACGTTCTCTTCAAGTGCACGAAGAAGAAGCTGGTTGAGTACCCTAACCTCCATGGATATACACGAGACATATACCAGATGCCTAAAGTCGCAGAGACTTGCGATTTCGCCGCCATTGTCGATTCGTATTATGGGACTCTGTTCCCTTTGAACCCTAGCGGCATCCATCCTGCTCTGCCTGATTCTGCTTCAGAGGCTGAATTGCTTTCTAAACCGCATAATAGGGAATCGCTTTCTTCGAGCCGCAGAGATCCGCGGCCACAATCTGCTTGAGTGCTTCTACAAGTACTAGGGATTTGCCGAGCTTGATTTGGTATGTTTTAACCAAACAAAAGAAGAAGTACATGCTTGAATACCACATTGTTATTTAAATATCTAACACCTAAATTTTAATTTTTTGTATTTGTAACGTTCAAATCTTCTCTATCACATTAAAAATCCCACTATTACTAAAATGCACTTTTTCAAACCTAAGCAAATGGTATATATGTAAAAAAATTAAAATTTAGATGGTAAATATGTAAATACATACGAATTATGCGGTGTATGGATAAATCTTTCATACTTTAAATAAAACATAGGGAATGTAGAGTAGCTAATTATGTCAAAAAATGGCTTAAATTTTAATTAATTTGATACTAGAGAACTTAGCCGCAAAGAGCTAATAAAATTTTATTTTATTTTATTTTTTTTTGACTCAGAGATCGCACCTCAAATTAAATTAAATCAAGTTGATGAAATATAAAGACATATACTATGACATATCAACAAAAAAATTTCCATGACTCAAAGATCGCACCTCAAATTAAATTAAATCAAGTTGATGAAATATAAAGACATATACTATGACATATCAACAAAAAAATATACAAGAGCCATGTGAGTGATGTACAATCATGGAGACATCCTCTTGAATGGATCTAATAATTTCACTTTTATAAAATGAAAGGAAGTCGAATGATCATGCGATGGAGCTCATCTTCAATGACGGGCTGCAAGTTTTAGCAACATTATTCTTGTTGTCTATTAGCTATATATAAAAAAATTCATATTATAAGACCTCATATATATATATATATCGAAAAGGTTATTGAACCAAATCCGGAACGCTTCGGTGCAAGCTGCAGTTCAGAGTTCGAAGCATGCTCAGGCGGCACTATCAATTACGTCGGAAAAGCCACGGCGGCAAGAGATAAAGAAGATCGTCGAAGAAATAAAGACCGATGGCGCGAAGAGTAGAGTAGGGGCTGCTCATTCTCGATTGGTTGTTTCGGATTTGGGGGAGAAATCCCTCAAACCGTTGACTCTGTACGATTCTCTTTATGCTCCTCTGAGAGCTTTTAATGAAAAGAGTGTTGATTTTGGCTACGTTTTGACTGTCTCTAGTGATTACGTAACTAACAACCAATCTGATTCGAATTTCAATTCCCATGACGATCCTCAAATCATACAAAACCCCGACAAACTCGTCGATATGGCTAAGGAAGACGTTCACGATACAACACGAACTACGATAGCTCAGATAGTGAAGCACCTATCCTTGAATTCCAATGAACACCGATTGCGATCGATCTAGAACTATCAGACTCAGAGACAGCGCCAGAAGAGCCAGCCGTCATTTCAGCAGATGAAACTCCGGGTCCGATTCAAGAGACAGAGGAAATAACAGAAGTTCTCCTCTCGCGGCTCCGGTTGTTGCGCTAAAACAAAATGTAAACAAATTTGTTTTACTTGTAAAGATCATTGATAATACCGCCCAATTCACCAAAAAAATATTTGTATCTTCTTGCAAAAAACTTTATATTCAATTGATTACATACCGAAAAAAATTGCCCAAAAAAATGTTTCACAATTGTTTTTTGCTTTTATTTTTTTTCATAATTTGGGTGCAAAAACAGAACATTGCTCTGTAAAAATAAATTCTACGAGTTCCCAAGTTCTTTTAAGTTTGAACTTAATGAGGAGCAGAATTGAATATAGGCTCTGCATAACGTCCGAAAAAAAAAAAATTACCTCACTTTTGTCAAACTAATTTGATTCGGTATGATCTCATCTATGATATTGCTCTGTAAAAATAAATCAATGAAGAAGAAAATAACTCATGAACTCAATTAATGTTTAATGTAATTTTTCAGTACGGAAAAAAAATCACCTTTCACACCTTATTTTCTGGCAATATTTCGTCATTGGATATTATATGTTCGATATTCTTCCCTTCTCTACGTATACAGATGATGTCAAAATCCCTACATATTGCTCTGACCTGGAAAAAACACCGCGAACAACATTTTTGGACCATATTTGCATTCTCTAAGAAAATGTTAAACAGGAAAAATAGAGCAATTGAACATAAATAACAATTTGCAGGCTTAGAATACAACAAAAAAAAGTACAACATTTTTTACAGGCTCATTCATCCACACGAGGCATAGAACAGATGAAATTGATATTTCCATTGGAAGAATCATTCAAATGAATCAAGCCTCACCTTCTTTCGAGTCATTCGACATGAGCCCTCTTCTTTCTAATTCAAGTTTTAAGTATTTTTCTATGTGCATTCATGGTCGGAGATGCAAATGTGAGGTACATTGTGTTGATCTGTTTAATAGATCCGATAGAAGATTTCTGTAGTTCCAACAACATTATTTTGGGACATCTACAAACATAACACTCAATTCCTCTATATATGCATATCTAACACATAATATATATTTTACATTTATACCTTCCAAATTTTTCATATCACATCAGAAATACAATCATTTTAACTTTTCAAATGTGGAATACACCTTCTCATGCATAGGTAAGGTGGTAATGTAATTAAAAATTGGAATTTAGGTGTTAGATATGTAAATACATAAGAATTTAGTATGTATGTAAATCTTCCTATTATTTTTAATGGTATTATTTCTTTATAAAAACTGCCAATGGCATTGATTTAAAGATTATGCCATTGAAATTGAAGATCAAGTCATCAAGGGGGCCATAGATAAGGGCAGATATCAGAGGCCCAATGATCAAGATCGGAGGCAAGAACATCTTGAACATTGGATGAAGATCAAATACCAACATTAGGGAGTCCATTTGTGAGGGCTGACTACTGTTCGAAATAGAAAATCAAAGCCAATGGAGGAAGAACAAGTGGGCGATAATAATGCCTTGGCCAATCAACAATCATAAGAATGAAATGCAAGTTGAAAGTGAAAATAATTTAAGTTTGCATTGTGATATTTGTATTTTGAATTTTAAATTCAAGGTAACATTTTCATTCTTCTATGGGGTTAGTTTAGTGGTATGAGTTTCTACTCAAATTAAAATGTAATTGACTATGTAAAGGCTGCTACTTGCATTAAAAAACAATGCAATTCCCCTCCAATCCTTTACCTCTTATCCCCCCCTATTCCTATATTGCCGACCATCCCATCTCCCAAAGTCCCAAACTGCAAGAAGCAACATGAGTATATTCTAAGCCATGATTCGTTGTGAATTCTATCTCATGACTTATGTGGGGCAACGGTAGAAGAAATGACAATTTGAGGCAATATTAAATTTTTCGTAACTAGAAGCGCACCTCTGCACAATTGAAGAATTTTCCAAGTCAAGGCATGTGCCTCGCTAGGTTAGCGTGAGGTGTATGCCCCAAAACTGTGAAGGCGCACAAATCTTCGCCTTTGAAAGGATAAGGCGATTTGCCCCGTATTCGATTTAGGTATTTAAAACGGTGCGCTGCTAAACCTGTAAGCTCTTGTCTCCCGCATGCATCCCTCCTATCTCAATGTCATGAACCGGATGGCGCCTCCTGCAGCATCGGACATCGCCACCAACGCCGTTTTCGACACATCATGCTCTATCGTTCCAACCCGTAAGCTCCTATCTCCCGCAATCTCCTGCCTCTAACTCTAATGCACCGAAGGACGTATCTGGCATCGACGTCGACCCTGCCTTCTCTTGTCGTCACCGCCGCCATAGACATCTACTGTTGCTTGGTTTAAACCCGCACGCTCCCATCTCTGTTTGATTCAGAGCCTGTTTGGGGCCGCATTTTTGGAGCATCGCGGCCCCAAACCGCGAAATGCTCCTGTTTGGTTCGCAGCTTCGCGGCCGCAAGCAGCTAAAGCAGGCCGGGCCCCGATTGACCCCGCGGCCCAGCTTTCGCCTCACCAATATTCCAGTTATTCCAGTTTGCCCCTCTTTTTCGCGGAAGCAGAGCAGCCCTAGCCTGTTGTGCACGGTTGTGCGCCGTCTCGCCATCTCTCCCCCGATCCCGCGCCTTCTTCTTCCTCGACCAGGAACGAGCCCCGCGCCTTCTTCTTCTTCCTCCTCGCCTGCTTGTTCGATTCAGCACACGATTACATCTTTCGCCTATTTTTTAAAGGGTGATTAACATACATACCATGTAATTGTTGAAATCCGTAATTGTTATGTATTTACATATCTAACACCTGAACTTTGCTTTATATATTTTCATTTCACAAAAAAAAAAAAAACACTATTTTTAAATTTTAGTACCCATCATGACTTTGAAAAGCCACCATTGCTTGTTGACACAACTGTCATAGAATATTATTTAAATTATCAATCATATGAAAAATTATTGGATACATACACCGCATGCAGATGCATGCGGTGTCCAATTCTAATCGTAGATCACGGTGATCTACGGTCATGATGTATTTTGGTGGCCCCACTTTAAATTTTTTTATTTAAAAAAAAAATTGATTGCATTCTGACCGTAAATCACTGTGATCTACGGTTAGGATCGGACACTGCATGCATTTTTGCATGTGGTGTATATATTCAATAATTTTTCCTACCATAGACGCTTTTGTTGATTTACGATTGTCATTGAATGCTCCATACTACTCTACCCCACGTTTATGCATAAAATTTTCATTTTATTGTCGATTTTATCCACATTGGGCGGAAGCATAGATTGCTTAGATACCTCCTATGAGGGTTGTCGATAAATCTGAAGAAAATATTACGTTTGTAGTCTGGACGCAAGCTACGTCCCGACAACATACATGATACAACGGAGTTCTTTTTCTTTAATATCCTCCGCTCATTCCGATGTATCGCATCCGTTGTTTGGATGCAACTTGGTCACAATCTTTTTTCATGAACGTGGGGGTGTTCGACTGCCACGATGATTTAAGTTAGATAAATTTGGATTTACTAACTCTAAATATCATTAAATTCGAAATAATATTGGTTCAATTAAGGTTAAATCCAGTTGAGGTCTTTGGCATAAATTTATTTGAAATATTTTTTCTTCCCCGCGTTAAATCCGATAAATACAACTAATAAATGGATTTATTAAATCAAAACTTAATTAACGGAACAAATAAAATTTACATTTAACTAACATATTTATCTAACCTATTTAGAGTTGTTTGGTTGTATTTAAGTTTAATCTAACTTAAAATCTATTAAAAGTATCGAACCAAACACCTCCTAAGAACTCCAAGAATGTAACAAAACCAAAAAATGGCAAAACAATTTTGCATTTCTTAAGCAGGCTCTTTTTTCTGTTCATCCCCATGGAACTTAACAGAGCCCTCAGTTTTTAGCTCAAATGGCCATTCAAGATGGTTTTGTTTTGACACGCTTACATGAGATTTATGTACTTTCTTCTCTCCGTAGGGACGATATATGACATTTTATGCATGCATATAATGTCATATATATGACATTTTATGCATGCATATAATGTTGATACAGAATGCAATATGTAAGCTTCAAGAAATTAAGAAGCGCCTAGGTAGCAGTAACTCCCGCCTCGGTTGTCCATGTACCGGCTTCAATACAATCAAAATCAACTACTTATTTTAAGATCCAAAGCATGAATGCACTGCCATGAGGCCCAGGCCGCTGAAATTCACTAATAGAGCCATCCAAACTGGCATGCATTTCATATTTTGGAAGTTTACATAACATAAATTCTTTTTTTGCCAAAACTTTTTTTTGAATATTTTTTTGAGATGTGGGCTTCCACCTGAAACTATCAAACAACTGCCTTAGAAATTTATGAGTTCTAGTATTTCTTTTTTCTTCTTCCTAGATTTGTAAACTTGTCATTCGTCTGCCAGTGTTTGTCCCATCTGATATATTTGTGGATCTTTGATGGAGAGCTCACCCTGGGGAGTATGTTGATGCGTAAATTACTGACCAGTCTCAGCCTGCAGCACACCTTGTTCATGACGCTCCTCCAGGGCTTAATTACCCTCTTCTCTCGCGATAGGTGGTTCCAAAACACACCAGCTAGCATCTGCTACAACCAAATTCATAGTATCTGTGATATGAGGATGAACTATCTCAACAACAAAGGGAAGTAGTTGTAGAACTGGTTGGTGAGGAATAGCCTTATGAGACAAATTTTCATTCAACATTTCTGGAAGATCTTCAGTTTTGCTATATTTTCCTTCACTTGGGTGATGTCAGGGACTGCAGAATCTAAATGCACAGGGAGGTTGGATCTCAAATGTGGATTAAGCCTAAAACATTTGACAGGTGTGTGCCCAATCAGTTTACAGTGATTATAATAATAGGTTCTTTGCTCTGCGACAGTTGGCTGCCAATACCCATTGTGGGCAGTACCAAACCATATTTCTTTCACATTAGGGAGGGTGATATCCCTTACAATAAGAATGCTTGCGACCGAAGGCATAAATAGGTTGAAGGTGGGTATGTCCAATTTCATAAGCCTCTCTAATGCAGCTCTAATAGAATAGAAGATTTGGTGATTAAAGTAGTGCAACTTTAGGTCAGGTAATTTAAACCAGATTGGAACTATAGGGGGTTCTTGGCTAGGATCGAATTCAAGGGACCACTTGAGCAATTTCATATATTTCCTATCAAATTTCATATACTTCTTGGAAAAAGTTTTGGCATGATCCTCTACTTTAGATAATTGTATCATCACATGAAAGAAAAAAAAAAGTTTGGATGCCCCAAAAAAAATTTACATTAGATCACCCAAACTTTGATATTTACACTTAAAACATTTTGCATAGTCTACTTTAGATAATGGCATCATAAAATTATGCATAAAAGTTCCATTCACTTGAAAGGAAAAAAAAAAAACGAATTGTAATGGTGGTATTTTTTATGTGATGCTAAAGATTTAAGTGAAATGCAGGTAAATATGAGAGTTTGTTGGATATGTAAATACCTAAGAATTATATGTTATGTATGTGAGTGTACCCTACAAATTTTAGTCTGCAAACCTGAACGGGCGTTGTTTGAAGAAAGCGAATGGCCAGTGGGTGATCAGGTTCTGGGCCACAACCAATTTTACTTTGTTTTATTTCACTATTTTTTACTTTGCCAAAACTATTGTTCTTGCCTTTATGTGGAAATAATGATGACTTTTACTTGCATAAATTAGAATAGCTGGTTTCCTTTAAATCTTATAAATAAGTTTAGCCAGCAAATATATTAGAGTTTTTGAAAATTCTAGCAATTTTACTATATAAAGTATACTATTAGTCACAATTTATTCCTTTTTGGGTACTTCACTTCATAATGCCTGTAGGAGAAAAAAAAAATTTAGGTGGGGCCCACCGAAATACATCGGGACACCTGATCTACGGTCCAGATCGGACACCGCACGCAAGCTACGTGCGGTGTCTGATCCGTATGGAATAATTTTTCCTGTAGGAGAGGTCTTCGAACAACAAATAATTTGAAATTTTTGTGGAGTTAACTCCGCAGAGTTATGACACTTGCCTTCCGTAGAACAGCAAAAGCAAATGGTTATTTACACTGCATCTTTTTCATGTCTCTATATAAATATTCTAACATACTGATAATTATAATAAACCCAAATTAACATTTAGAAAATAACATCACACAACAGGCTTGATTTGTGACAGCTCAACGAATCAACTCAAAACATAAACGAGAGCCAAAATATAAATCTAGTTTCTTCGGCCAACTTCAAACTATATATCATTCCTATATTCTTAGATATTGGCCCAACTCATTCCAATATGACAGGTGAATGAATATGATTCGGAATCCTTAAAATATTGTTCTAAAGCATACCAAAAAAAAAAAAAGAGAGAGAAGGGTACAAATACTAATACTCTAAGGTCTACAGTAAAATTGTTTAGGAACTGAAAGGCTTTGAGAAACCAAACCACTCTTCCATGAGTCAGCAGTCAGCAGGGGTCTCTAAGGCGCTTTACAATTAGAGAAGGCAGCGTGTTTTCTCACTTCTTAGAACGGTGTAAGTGGCTGTCTTGCTTGCTCTTCAGAATTGAACTCAATCTGTCGCCCAAAGGCAATGCTCTTCATCATGCTTGACTTGCGCTTGCCCTATAAAAAAAATAAAGGAAGATTTACACATACCACTCAATTCCTATGTATTTACATATCTAAGACCTAAACTTCAATTTTTATATATATTCTTCTTACTTATATATAAAAAGATGTATTTCACTTAAAGAGTGATATTTTTTTATGTGATATGAAAGTTTAGGTTGGTAGTGGGATTAAGGCTCTGTTGTTGTTGTTGTTGTTGTTGTTGTTGTTGTTGTATGAAAGTTTTAGTTGGTATAAATGTAAAAAGTAAAAGTTTAGGTGGTAGATATAGCAATACATAGGAATTGGATGGAATGAATGTAAAATGCCCTCAATAATGAAAATGAAAAGATACTTTCATGTTTTGGAAAGATTATATGTTTTGTGACCAGCATTAGAAGATATTGGTAGAAAAATTAAAACCTTTAGCGAATGAGAAAAGGGAAGAAACCAAAAAAGCTTAGGTAGTGAATCTCCCAGATTAACAGTTTCAAAGGAAATTTGCCGCTCTTCAATTCTTTGCATCACTGTAATTTTTCGTGTCATGCAAAGTTGTTCACCTCAGCTTGTTTAATAAATGGGTTAAACATAAAAGAGACCAACCAGCAATGTCTGTGATGTCTGTGACACATAAAATTTAGATTCATTCATATCTTGACTGATTGAGATTTAAAAAAGGCTTTTAGCTAAGTAAAACAAACTTACCATTAAAAATTAAAAGATTGAATGAGCTACTTTAAATAAATAAAAAAATAATCAACAATTCAGATCAATGACACAAGACATGTAAGGCTAAGATAACATATCGTAGAAGGATGGCAATCTTACTTCGCACATGCACTTAAGGAAAAAGAAAAAAAAGAAAATAACTGCGTTTTTACCTTCAAAAACCACATAAGATAGTCGCACTAGAAAACACAAGTTCTAGTTTTTATAATGCTTACAAGATGACTTGTTTTCATTGGGAATTGAGTGATTAATCAAAAATTTGTCAAAGCATCTAATGGTCAGTTCTTATGTATTTACATATCTAACACCTAAACTTCCATATTTACATGCATGCCACTAAAATCTTTAACATCACGTCAAAAAAATATCACCATCATTATCTTCTCTGCATGTTGCAATACACATTTTCATGCATAGCTTTATGGCACTGAATGTTATAAGTGTAAATATCAAACTTTGGGTGTTATACATGTATATATATATAAGAGTTGTGTGATATATATGTAATTTTCCCATTAAATTTTTTAGCTCGTCAACAAACTTCAACTCTTATTCATCTTGAAAGTCACTGAACTGAACCAAACAGGACCCTAAATCGTTCATGCTCAAGCTTATACTCTCACCTTAGAAGAAGATGCAGATAACTTGTTGCCAGATCCATGTCGTTGTGTTTCCCTCTGCAGAAGCCTTAGCAGTCGCTTATTCTCATCATCCAGTAATCTGTTGTCCTCAAATAGTACTTTCACCTTCAACAAAAGAAAAAAATAAATAAATAAATAAATAAATAAATAAACAGGAGTGAGAAAGAAACATGAGAAAAATAAATGGGAAGATTTACATACATTTTAATACATGCCAATTCCTATATATTCACCTAACACCTAAACTTTAACTTTTACATACATGCCACATGACATAGGCATGAAAAGGTGTATTTCAACTTTTAAAGTTGAATTGGTGGTATTTTTATGTGATAGGAAAGATACAAGAGGTATAAATGTAAAAAAGTAAAATTCAAGTGTTAGAAATGTAAATGCATAGGAATTGGGTGATATGTATGTAAATGCCCCGAATAAAAATAGATTGGTTTTAGGATCTCGCACCTCCTCCTCAGCTCTCTGCAGATTTATCCGGAGGTTCTCCTTATCTTCTTGCAAGGATTTAACTTCAGCAACTAATGCTTGAGCCTGAAATTGTTTGTTTTGAATATATAATTAAATTTAGAAATTACAGGGAAAGAAAACAGTAATTAGCAGAACCAAACTTTAAGAGCCTGTCTTAAATGTTAGGCACAATACAGAAAAAACAGATATCAGAAACTGTTGAATGAAACCAAGGTTTGTACAAATCAAAATTTGTTCATGCACCCTCTCAAAAAAAAAAAAAAAAAAAAAAAAAAACAAACCAAATGCACAATTTCATAGGAAAACTTGATATTTAATTCATCAAGGTTTATATATATGATTACGGATTTCATCAAGCATTAAATCCATGGTTGATGCTATTTTATTCACACTTGAACTCTTGACATAGCAGCCTTAACTAGGGTGTAAACCAGTTAAGTCGAGCTCAACTCATGAGATGTATGGTTGGCTTAAGCTCCACTCAAGCTCATAACTTGAGCTCGAACTCGGCTCATGACAACTATGCCCGGCTTGAGCTCGGCTCGAAAGCTTGATTTTGAGCTCAATTTTGATAAAAGTATCTTAAAAATTTATAGAATAGTTAAAGCTCTATTTATTATACAAAAATTAAGATTAATTATTCAATTAATCAAGCTGACTTGATGATCTCTTGAGCCAACACCGTGGCGCGGGGCTCGACTCCCCAGGGAGAGGCTGACCAGTTCAGTCAGCATATGGCACACCAATGCAATATTTTGATTTCGGTCCCTTATTGCTGTAGATATAAGAAATATCTTCTATGTTTAACCCGGCTGCATTTTTATAGACCCGGTAAGTTTCATAACTTTGCATTGTAAAGGCAAGGCATAAGAGGATGGTTCTTTTTTTTTTTTTTTTTACTCGGTAAACTCGTCACATTTTCATTTACATGAAAACTCAAGGAACATGTTTAGAATTTCCTTTTCTCTTACTGTAAAATCTCTGAAAGTTAAGAAGACGTCCATTCAAAAAGGAAAATTCAAAAAATTTCAAAAATGGGCAACTAAGGTATGCTTTGTAATGATAATCAATAACAAATTCGACCAATTTATACAGGTTATATGAGTAATTTTTTGAATAGAGTAAAACAAAGTAAGCAAAAGTAAAAGTTGTTAGAGATTAAATATTCGATTTGAAGTGAAAAAGATGTAGCATGTCAATTTCCATATAATATACATATAAACTAACAGCACCAAGAATACCACTTGATAATTTTGTATGGTGGCGTGCTGTTTTCTATCATGTTGTGTTATGATGTAATGTGTTTTCAAATAAAGTTTAAGGGCATTTAAATACATAACGCCCAATTCTTATAAATTTAGATATCTAACACCTAAACTTCGCCCAATTCATGCCACCCAAATCTTTCATGTCACATCATCAAAAGTACCACTCTTTAAGACTCAGTAAACTCGTCACATTTTCATTTACATGAAAACTCAAGGAACATGTTTAAAATTTCCTTTTCTCTTACTGTAAAATCTCTGAAAGTTAAGAAGACGTCCATTCAAAAAGGAAAATTCAAAAAATTTCAAAAATGGGCAACTAAGGTATGCTTTGTAATGATAATCAATAACAAATTCGACCAATTTATACAGGTTATATGAGTAATTTTTTGAATAGAGTAAAACAAAGTAAGCAAAAGTAAAAGTTGTTAGAGATTAAATATTCGATTTGAAGTGAAAAAGATGTAGCATGTCAATTTCCATATAATATACATATAAACTAACAGCACCAAGAATACCACTTGATAATTTTGTATGGTGGCGTGCTGTTTTCTATCATGTTGTGTTATGATGTAATGTGTTTTCAAATAAAGTTTAAGGGCATTTAAATACATAACGCCCAATTCTTATAAATTTAGATATCTAACACCTAAACTTCGCCCAATTCATGCCACCCAAATCTTTCATGTCACATCATCAAAAGTACCACTCTTTAAGTTTTAAACAATTGAAATACAACTTTTCATGCACAAGTGAAATATGTAAAATATGAAGTTTTGGGTTCGACATGTAAATTCGTAAGAATTGAGTGATAATTATGTATGTAGATCTTCGTAAAATATTATTGTTTGGTAAAACTATTATCAAATATGTTATTTGAAGTATTGCAATAGATAAAGTTGTTTTACAAAAACAATTGTGAAGCAATTGAATTGATTAAAGAAAAAATTAAATATGAGTAGTCATTGCCCCAAAAAATATGAATTACATTTATATTAAAGTAATTAATGGAATAATAATTTAAATTTATGTATCAATGAATAAAATTAAAACTAAAACTGTAGAATAATTTATATAGTAATATTAAGTTGCTTTTTAATGAAGAAAGAAACTTTATAATACCCATCTAGACAAGCACCTACTATTAGGATAATTTGGAAAAAAATAAATACAAGTTGGATATTAAGGCTAAAGTAGCTACTCATTATGCAAGGAATAAAAGAGATAAATTCATACACAAATAAATCATAATATTTGAACATTTGAGAGGATGTCATTGTATGATATCAATACATGAATCTTATAACCTCCTGATGGATGGAGGCATGCCCAATGGTGAAAAGTCTACTACATTCCTAATCCTAATAGATATATTTTGTCATAAAGTAATGCTATTTGAACAAAAGAAAGATGGTGCTATGTAATGTATAAATAAAACAAAGAGGCTTTGTCTGATTTTTTTTTTTTTTAATTAACCGGTTTTTTAAAAATGCATGCTTGCTTCGATTTCCATATCCACCATTTTAAAAAAAAAATTTTGCAGCAGAATTTTTCCACACAGCTTAATTGGTTGGACTTTTTTAGTAATAGACATATAAAATAGATATATTTTGTCTTAAAAGAACAATATTTTGTTAATAAAGCTGCTTTTTAAAATGCATGTTTCATAAGCTCCATTTTTAAATTTTTCGTGCAGCCGAAATTTTCCACACAGCTTTATTAGTTGGATTTTCCCTGATAATGTAACAATAAAATAAGGATACTTTCTCTTAAAAAACCTTTTTTTTTTAAATTGTTTTCTAGAATGCTTGCTTGCTTAGAATTTTCATAAGCCCTGTTTTTAAATTTTTGTGCAGCAGAATTCTTCCATACAGCAGTTGACTAACTTTTATCAAAACCTACTAATTGTTCAGCACCAAAGAAAAAAGTCAAATGAGGACACGGTCAACAGGAGCTAACACATTCACAAACTTGCAACTCTGCAGAATGAAAGAACTGTTACATTTAATTGCAGTAAAAAAATAGCTGATCCTCTTATTCCTTTTTAACTATAACAAAAAATAGAATTATGTGATGTTATAAAAGAATTTAGGAACATGGAGCAGACAAAAGCACAGACTGATGTAACTGATTTAGAACATTTAGCTGTATCAAGCAAAGAGGACTTACAGAGAGGCTATCACGCAACTGAGCACGAAGCTCATTGTTCTCCTTCTCCAACTCATCACATGACTCCATTGCCTTCTCCAAATCACGTTCAAACAGCATGCATTCACTTTCCATCTTAGCACAGTAATTCTCCATTTCAACACACCTTGCAGCCATCCTCTCCTTATCCTGGATGCAATTCTTTAAACCCTGAAGATTCATATTCGTCTCCTCCTGTCACCATAAACACAAAAATCCCAGATGCGTTCATAAAACCCTAGAAAAAGTACAAAGATAGGGGGAAAGCAGCAAAATCAAAGAAGGAAAAGTTAGCCGATTAAAGAAAGAAAACTGAACCTTGGAAAGCTGAAGGCGCTTATGAGACTCTTTGAGTTGGTCCTGCAAGAAGAAGATCTGATCTTGGAGGCGATGCCGCTCGTCCTCTGAAGCGAGAAGCTTCAGTCTGAGGGTCTTCTCTGATACCGGGAGGCCTAGGGAACACTCGATGGATTCCTTGATGTAATCGTCGACTTCCTGAAGCATATCCATCGCTTGAAGGGGGAAAAGAATAGCTCGGAACCCTATAGATCACACCAAACGAAACAAGATTTATCGTCGCAATTGTTAAAACCCTAGAATTGAAAGTTGATATAGCGGGTTGACGAACAGGAACAAACCCTAAGCCGAAAAGAAGTATAGTAATCGACTGTAAGCGAGATCTCGAGATTTTCGGGTTCTCGAAAACCCTAGGAGCGGACAAGCGAGATGGCGATCGACCGACGGAGAGAGTGATCGAGCGAGCGAGCGAGAGAGGATGTTCGACCTTAAGAGGATCAGGAATTTTTTCAAATTGCCAAGCGAGCCGTTAGGGCAACAATACAAGCGAGTTTATTATTATTATTATTATTTCAGAATTTACATACCTATTAAATAATTCTTATATATTTATATATGTATGTACATAGTTATTCTAAATATATGTACTTTTGAACTATAGTATTTCGGATGTATTAAAAAAATAAATATTCTATTTTTCTTACTTTGTTTTATGATTTTGGTATTGCAAATTAAAATTAAGAAAAATTTGGAGGTATTTAGAATTTAGATGAATTTCAACTAGCAATAAGGAGGCCTCATGCTTGATTCCTCTTATGATTGCACACCTTAAACTCACTCACTCTTTTGGGATGCATTGTGTTATTGCAATGACCATATGACTATGTTGTTTTAGCACCATTCATGATTTCATTTTACCTTCCCATGTCATTATTTTATCTCCTTTGTGAGTTCGTCGCCCTGTTGAGATCTTCGGCTGCTTCACTCACCAGGTCTTTTTTTTTTCTTATTTTTATTTCTTAACTTATGTATGCTCATTTGCCCTAGTGGTCGAGAGTTGATTTCAACCAAGAGGCCTTGGCTCTTATTGAATTTTTTTAGGGTTTAGGGTTTGTATTGTTTGTGAGCTCATATAAACTGATAGAGATCTTATTTTTAAGAGGAATGTGTGAGAGAAGATGATGTATGCATTGCTAGTTTGTGTTTCTCACTCTCTTTTATCAGAATCTTCGGATAGTCGGGAATGACTCAAAGAAAGGGTTTATGTTTCTCAGACACAAGAGAGAGAGAGAGGTTAGTAGTTTTTATAGAGAGAGAAAACATGTCTCCCTTGATCTCCTTTGACTCCCTTTTATATATGAGAAAAAATAAATATAAAGTTATATTTTGTGCAGTACTACGCCTATTTGTCTTGATGAAAAGATTATGACACGAGTGTCAGATGACGTCATAAGTAGGGATGGATATGTACCCTGATGTTATGATGGTCTTTTCCAGTAGTTCATTTTTCTTGGACTAATTCAACCACTTCAACAGATTTGATCAACTCGACCATTTCGACGGATGGGCTTAGTTCGACCACTTTGGTAGATGGGGTTAGCTTAATTTGATGATACAGGCTTTCTGGGCGCATGGATTATGATATCATACCCCCATGCAAGCCTTCCCTAAATGGTCGTATTTTGGGTATATAAATTCAAACTTTGCATGTGTTGTGTATGAGTTTGTAATTAAATAATTCGCTCAAAATTCTCAAAAAAAAAAATAATAATAATAATAAATGAATATTAAAAAAAATTCCTTGCATTTTAAATGCAATGTATTCAAATCTCATTCAATTTAACATATACTTAATTTTCTTATACTTAAAAACAAAAAGCCCCGTAATCAAGATCGAACAAAATCTAAATTCCTTAATTTGCATAGCATGAGTTACGCTTATTATTTTAAAAAATATAGTATTTCTCTAAATGAAATAAAACTTCGGAAGAAGAAAAACACACAAATAATTTACATAATAATAATAAAATTATTTTAAACGTAAAAAAAAATCATAAGAAAATAAAATACATAAATATTAAATTATCAAAATTTGAAATACATATCTTACATGTATGATATCAATTAATTTTTTTTTTTGTGAATCCTCTATTTCTTCCGATCCTATTTCTTCCGATCACATATACCATAAACTTTAATTATTTTCAATTTGTTCTGCATGAAATTAAAATATAAGAAGATTTACATACATATCTCTTAATTATGTATTTACATATATGAGATCCATACTTCAAGTTTTACATTAATGTAGCCTTATCTAGGCTTGCAAACATATATTTAACATTCAAAAGTTAAAAGGGTGGTATTTTTTATGTGATATCAACGATTTGGGTGATATAAATACATAGGAATTCGATTGTATGCATGTAAATGCCCCTAAAATATTATAAAAAAAATTTAATTCAATTTTGATTTTTCGCTTTGTTGAGTTATATAAAATTAAAACCTAACAAATAACCCAAAATCAAATAATAAGGTCTTAAGATTCAGAAATCAAAATGCATTTTGAAACTGAACCAAATCAACCAAACTTATTCTGTTTGGTTTAGGTTTTCGATTCTGACCAACTAATACACACCCCTATAAAGAATCATGTTTGTTTTAATATAGTTCAAGCACTAGAAATAATTATCAAGGCTTATCATCAAATGAATATTCCATCATTTTCTTCGTAAACAATAATTTAACTGAGGATGAACTGCCAAATCACAACCCATATAACATTTGTTTCAACGACCACACCCCATATGTTGCCACCATCTAATCTTCCCTGGCTACCATACCATGTAATTTTTTAGTACTTACATAATCAACATCTAGATTTTAACTTTTACATTTATACCTCCTAAATATTTCATAGCACATCAAAAACACCACTATTTTAATTTTTAAAATGTGAAATAAGACTTCTCATATATAAGGAGGCATATATGTAAAAAAATGAATTTTAGGTCATAGAAATGTAAATATATAGAACTGGAGTGGTATGCATGTAAATCTTTAGTTTTTCATTGGTCAAACATTTTAGATACACAAATAACAAAAACTATAGTAATTTAAATATACATGAAAGTTATTTATTATGATATGTAAATTTTAGTAATTTAAATAAGATTTATGGGATAAATCAGTACGTTTATATTATTCTATTATAACTTCTATCAGTGTATATAGCCCATTAAAATAAATAGCATTACATACACTATGAAATACTTTGATAAAAAAGCTAGCATACATATATTAATATGATGAGAATAAGGGAGCTATTCCAAGTCTTAAGACAATCTTAAATCCTTCAATTCTCCCTGATTGAAGTCTCTTTAACATTGTTCAGAACAAAACATTTTGCTGGACTTTGGTGGAGAAGTCCAGGATAAACAAACTAGAGTTAAATCTATTCTCAAAATCAATCCTAAAATACGATTTTAATCACAATCAAAGGGCTAAGTCAATTAAACCTAATCTCTCATTCATATATATATACAAAAATAAAAACAAGCCTTTATCCCATTAAGGGTCTGTTTGGGGCAGCTGCAGCTTATCCAGTTTATGCTGATAAGCAACTTATCTTGATAATCTGTTGAGCAGCTGATCCAGATAAGTCCAGATAAGTTGGTTGGTTGTTTGGTTTGTGCGTTTATAAAACAGCTGATTCTGGATAAATGACACTTCTGCCCATGTTTTGGATAATTTGTTTAGCTATTTGATTTGTGTGTTTTGTAAACAACTGATCTGCAGATTTTCTTTAGTTAAATGAACAATCAGTCACGCAGAAGTTGTATTTTTCTCAACAAAATGACAATGTATACGTGTTAGATATTTTAGAACCAATTAACCCTCATCAAATTCATTTGACACATACAGACCACCCAAAAATTCCAACATAACATTGATTTATATGGAAAAGAACTGTTGAAGACTTCTGCTTACAGTAAAGATAGGAAAATCAGAAACCTATGTAAAGCTTAAACTTCAATTTTTGCTATACTTTTCATCATTATCAAGCCAAAAATCAACAAATTATTTGAATCATTGAGTATGTAAAGATAAATTATTTGCTACTAATATTGACTCAAAAGAGACGAGAAGTCAATTTCTGGATATTGTAAACTAAAAAATAAATAAGAAACAAGCAGACACAGATTTAAGTGATGGGTGAATGCAAAGTTATGGCTTGATTTATGACCAGACCTATATGTAAAATTATATGGGTAAAGCGCTCCTGAAATTGTTTGATTTTCTAATTATAGTCGAGGATTGGTACATTAAAAGCTATTTTATCATCTACATTACCAAATACTCAATATGAGAAGGGCAATTTGAGAAGACCATCCTTACCTGCTATCCTTCGCTTCAGCTGTTGCTTTTGAGGTAGGGGCTTTGCCTGGCTTTCGGCAGAGGAGCTACGGACGTAGGGCAGAGGAGAGGAGGAAGGGGCTTTGCCTGGCTTTCGGCAGAGGAGCAACGGACGTAGGGCTGAGGAGTGACGGAGGAAGTGGCTTCGCTTGGCTTTCGGCAGAGGAGCAACGGAGGAAGAGATATTGTATGGCTTTCGGCAGAAGAGGGACGGAGGTAGGGCAGAGGAGCGATGGAGGAAGGGGCTTCGCATGGCTTTCAGCAGAAGAGCGACAGAGGTCTTCGTCTGGCTTTCGGCAGCGACGGAGGTCTTCGCTTGGCTTTCGGCGGGGAGGTAAAAGCTGAGAGCGAAGATTTCGGCGAGTGAGGGCAGGGAGGTAAAAGCTGGAGCGAACGTAGGTCGCGAACGCGAACGCCGATCACAGGTATAACCTCGCGTCCGGCTTCTAACCAAAATAAGAAACATGGTTTTAGGATAATCACCCGAAACGTGCGAAACAAACGGTGAGACAACATTTTAAAAACGTCGTCGCACTTATAAGCTGTCCCAAACAGACCGTAAGTGGGGTCAGCTATATGAATAATTTTTCTCCCTTGTGTCCTATTGAATGTCATATTTTCATTTTAACTCTAATAGGTTAATGATCATTGTTTATACAATTTGCCCAAGCCTTTTTAGGTCTACCTCTTCCTTTCTTGACATAAGTCAAATCTAAACAATCCACTAACCTAGCTGGATCATCAGATGAACGACCTTTAATGTGATCAAACAATCTAAGACACTCTCTTTAACCTTGTCTTCTACTAAAGCTACACCAACCCTTTCAATGACATATTCATTTCACATATCATCTCAACAACACTTTATTATATGCATATCTTTTAAAGGCCAACATTTTGCATCATAAAACATTGTGCATCCCACCACCATCTTTTAAATTTTTCTTCAAGTCTAAGCAAAACTTTTCTATCACACAATAGGCCCAATGCATTCCTCTACTTTAACCAATCAACTCGAATTCTACTAATAACATCCCCATCAATAGCACCATCACAATGAACAATAGACCAGAGATATCTAAAAAGTTCACATCTTTTAATGAATTGATTATCCATAGCTACAACTGTCACTAGAAATACTACTACTAAATTACATTTCATGTATTCAATTTCAGATCTACTCAAATGAATGCATTTAAACTCCAATATAGGACCTCCATAATTCCATTATTTCCTGAACTATTTCTCTACTCTCATCCATAAGAAGGATATATATATATATATATATATATATATATATCTAAGAGAGAGAGAGAGAGAGAGAGAGAATCTGCTTACAAGCCTGGACTTCACCCCTAAAAATATTTCTAAAAAAAATTATTAAATTTTACTATTTATACAGAGTATTCAAGAAGAACAATTGCACATCCCAGACATCACCTGATTTCTTCCGTCTGCAATATAACCTCTCGTTCTCACCCCTCCAAATATTTCCAAGCAAATAATGTTCTGCAAAGAGAAATACATCCACTAGATGTTTAATTATCTGGAATAGTGTCTGCCAGCAATTAACAATATAACATATAAATTACAGAAGGTCATCAAATCTAACGAGTAAATAATATAGACAACGTTCAACTGTTAACATTTAAACAATTTTTCCCCCAGGAGAAATTTTAAATTAATAGGAACTCCCATCCCATCTTGTTTGCTCTTCATAAGACAATATATTATCTGACGCATTATGATGGTTTCAGGACATTGGAAATGTCCCAAAACTAAAAGAAACAACCTTTCAATCCCACAGCATAGAAACCAAAGAATTTGATAGACCAGCTTCATCAAACGTTAAATTGCTCTCAAAATCGAGAGTTTTGGATGCGCCAGGAATTGCTTGTGTGAAATGGAAAGGACGAGTTCCTGCCTCCTCCATTTCAGAAGAGCAGAATGACCATAATAACTGCAAAATTCAACAATGAGAAAAAGGTGAGTTTAGGTGAAGAAAGATATACTTGGGAAGATTACATATATAGTTGTTTGCAAACAACACATATTCGGCTTTTGATAAGTAGCACATATTTTATTTGTTCGTTAAACAAACGAGTAAATAATGAACAGTTTTTTTTTTTAATCTTGATTTATAAACAAAAAAGAGGCGAACAAACTTTTGTTTGACCATGTTCGGAATTAATTAAATAATTACTTAAATATTCTTATTATAACTAATTTTTATAATGCATTTAAAGATAATTAAACCTTATTATTTTTTAAAATAAGTAGTGTCAAAATAATCTTCTTAAGTTTTTGCAGAGGAGTCATTTTAGCCCCCAAGTCTATAAAAGTGCTAATTTAGTCCCTAAACTCTTTTAATATGGTCCGCAATAATCCCTAGTTATTATTTCAGCCCCAAATTTAAAAGGTTCAGGGGTTAATTTGACACTTTTATAGAATCTAGGACTAAAACGGCCTCATGCAACTAGTCTGGGACTATTTTGACATTTTACCTTTTTTTTTAATCAACCGGGCTAATTTGGAGCTGGAGAGGAACTGAAACAAACAAATAAATTCGAATATAGTAAAAAATGAACAAGTATTCATGAGCTACTTTGAACATGAGCCTATTTCAAAAAAAAAAGAAGCCGAACACGAACAAGCATTGGACTCCCTTAAGCTCTACTCGTTATATCAAACTCAATTCCTATGTATTTATATATCTAACATCTAAATTTTAATTATTACATACATGCCATCTTAGTATATTATCTATGCATCAAAAGGTGTTTCACTTTTTAAAATTTAAATAGTGATATTAGTGGTACTTTTGAAGTGATATAAAGATTTGAGTGGTTTAAATATAAAAAGTAATGTCTACATGTTAGATATGTAAATACATAAGAATGTGTGGTATGGTATGTATGCAAATATCCTCATATTTAAATTGTAAGATTTTAGTATACTTCCACCTTTATTGAGTCGGAATGGAGGAAGCTCCTTTGGACGCGGCGGCCATCAGGTAGACGGATGCCAACCCGACAAACAAGCTCCCTGTTTCCCTTCGGCTCCTCTGGAAGGGGAGGATATAAGGGTTCCTCGCTGGAACTGGTTTTGGCATCTTCTTTAGCTTTTACCTCGACATCTACACAGGACTCCACGGGCGCCTTTGTTCCTTCCAATGAAGCTGCAACTGCCATCAGCAGCTCTTCGTCTTCCTCGAGATGCTTTTCTGTGGCGGGGGAGAAAAAAATCATATGGCATCAAGGATGGCAACAGCTAAATGAATCACCCGGAAGTAAATATTAACAAGCCTAATAACTAGGATGAAGATGCGAGTAGATTAGGGTACAAAGATAAGTAATTATGGCAGCATTTGAGTGTGTGAATGAAAAGAAAAATAGAAACTGCGGGCAATAATATATATAAATAGACAGATAAATGGGAGAGAGGCAGAGAGGAGAGAGAGAGGATATGCACACCTGGGCATGCGGTTTTTTTGTACGGATTGACAAATAGACGATCTAAACACAAAACACACGCAATTTAAATGACAAAATGGCAATGGAAATTAGAAAAATGAAGCAGTGAGAAAAATTCACCAAAAGGGATCAACAAACTTCTCATAAAAATATGGCTTAATCAAACAAAAACTAAAAAAATTTCCTCAGAAAAACTCTTTCATGGATGACAAGGATCAGAAGTGAAACGCCAAACCCTAAGAAAACCTATATAAGTAAGAAAACTCAAATCCCATCAAAACCATGAAAGTGGTTATTGAAGCACAATATCCCTAAACAAAGCATGGCGAGGGACTTTCTAATAGTGACCAAACAAAAATATGAGCTAACAATATCAGAATTTGCAAATCTACTATAAACCGTGGAGAGAAATACAAATGCAAAACCTGATATAATGTCCGTAGAATCCTTAGCTCCTTCCCTGCGCCTTTTAAAAGGATGGGAAAAGTGTTGTTGTTTTGGTCCGCCTTCCATAAATGGGAGTAAATCCTACATGAAGGGAACGGCATTTGATGTTAGAGAAAGCAAAAAAAAGTGTAAGATAAAGTACAAGTCTTAAATATACAAACAATAAGCTTTCCAGTGCATCATGCTATATTATCATATGTCTAAATGGAAAAATAAGATTGAAATATATGAAAACATTTCAATGTTGATTACCTCCAATATACGTTCTGGCTGTACCATGCCAGCCCATGCTCGCATTTTCTGCCCAGTGATAGGATCAATAACCAGGATGGCCGGAATTGAGACCAAATTATAGTAGGTGCAAACCTTCTTTCCCTCACTGGTGTCACTATATACCTACAAAACATTGAGAGAATAAAGTTAGCCCAGTATAACGATCAATCTTTATAAGCTTCACAAGGACATGAAGAACGGAACAAGACACAAAAGCAGATTTTACCATGACATTCAGCCTGGAAATCAGTTAAAAGAAAGACACTTCACAAACAAAAGAGTTGCAAACTGCTAAAAAATTGCTGCCAAAATCAAGGAGTACTAGCAGCCAAAATATAGAATAAATCCATCGGGGTGCATGTGTGGCCAGAACCTGCCAATAAAAACTTGACCCTTCACCCACAAAAGTACAGAGTTTGCAACAATTCATTTCACAACTGGAAAGGGGGAAAAATAACCAATCTAATATATTGACAAAGAATAAAAGGTTTTGTAGTTTACAAGAAGTTAGAACAGCAAAACAACAAGAATTTTATATGCAAAACCAAGCCCACGCCTCTTAAATGATCTGAAAAGAGCAACACTAAGTCAATCAGGGAAGCAGTACATAAATTGAAGAAATAGGGATAACATAAAGAGAGCATTAATCGAAATGGAAAACGATATGGGCAATGACAATAGAGAAACATATCACTGAATGCGTCCCTCGGTCGATAATAAACCTTATTAAACAAAAAAAAAAACAGGAATGCAAAGCTATGCAAAGCAACAAAAATATCATGACACAATCACAGAAGATACAGAAAAAAAAAACAAAGTTCTGAAACACTCTACATCACACATCGGTAAAAAAACAAATAGAGAGATTTACCTGCCAGAATATGAAATTGGTGCGAATTGTTTGTGTCACAGCTTCATTTGACCATGTATCCCGATTAAGCTTCACATTAAAAGGTAACATAACATCACTTGATTTAACCCAATTGCATTTTCAGAAAACATAATTTAAATTTAATAAAACAATTTTTTTATAGAAAAACTCACCATATGAGAGCTAAATTCTTCCGTGGATTGTAGGTTGACTAACAACCACTTGTCCAGAAGAGAAGCCTCAAACTTGGCCTACATTATATAAATGATATGAATCATTAGGCAAAAAGAGAAATGGTAAAAAAGAAAAAACTTCTATCACAGAAAGCGGAAAAAATAGAAATTGTACAATTGTAGCAATTCAATTATAGCAAAGAAACCTTAAATTTGTTGATTTGCTAAGAAGGGGGCAGTAAATAATATTTCCGCATGCAAGATTTTAACTAAAGAAAGCACATACATAACAGCCCAATATAAACAAAAATCCTGGTCGGAAAAGTATCGTTTCAGCCAATGCATTCTTATAATAATACTTTTCCTTAAAACATACTCCAATAGAGTAACCATATAATCCTGTCCAAGGCCCTGACTCAAACAAAGACAGGCGAGTGTATAGATACAAGCAGCAAGACTGGCGTTGTGAACAAACTGGTCAACTAAAAACCAGTATTATATATATATATATATATATATATATGTATGACAGTCCTAGTCTCAACATAATTATTTGGGTGACACAATATAAACAGGTGTAGAATTATAGGCATTGATGTTTAATTAAAACGTACGAACTAAACCATGCAAATTGATTGTACACGCTCATGAAATCCTGCATATTTACAAATCTAGCACCCAAACTTTAAAAATGAACTATGGAGTTCAAGCATTCGTGCATGCTTCAACCAATCTATTTCGAATTTCACTAACGCAAAAAATAAATAAATATACAGGTTGAGCTTTTGTTGTTATTTTCATTATAAACAAAATTAGACATCATATAAATGCCCTTTGCAAAAACATTTTTTTAAAACAATTACTTTGAAATCAAAATTATCAATTTATTCCATATAATTTAAGATACATGATCATTGTTCGATTTTATTAAAATACTTGTAAACAAAAAATTTCATAAATCGATGGCACTAATTGGACCGCCCAATAAGATGGTAATTTTATGAGCTTGTAGCTTAAAGACAGTTCAATCATATAGAACAAAGACACCTATTTAATGACATGGATTAAAATGACTTCTCTTCGTTCTCCATTTGCATATTTAAAAAAAGAAACAAAATCGCATAAAAATGAAAATTAAAAAAAATATAATAATCAATTTATAAACAACACAAATCATAACAATTATCCTTATTCCAACAATTGATTTCACCATATTCCCATAAATTAAATCCAACTTCTCTCCCAATTTCTAAGCTATCCCAAGTAAAACCTTGGCCAGAAGCCAGAGATCAACGTCAAGCCCATAAATATTTCATTATGAGAAAAGATTCAAAGTGGTCCCATGGCTCTTTGCAAAGGTCCCATAAATATTTCATTACGAGAAAAGTGTCAAAATGGTCCCATGGCTCTTTGCAATGGGTCGTTTTAGTCACAAATTTTACAAAAATATCAATTTAGTCCCAGACTTAATTAATATTAGTTAAATAGTCCCCAAAGACGATTATTTTGGTCACTAATAAACATAATGGGGACTAATTTAGCATTTTTTTAAAACATTGGGACTAAATTGACCCAATGTAAATATTCAAGATTATTTTGGCTCTTAACTCATCATTATACATGCCCCCGCAACACAAACAAGCAGCCTTTACATCCATAAAAGCAAATATCAAAATTAATCTTCAGTCCTCCAAGCCACCCTCTCTTCTTCATAAAATGTGAATAGCATGCATCAAAATTAATGCGTTGTATTTCAATCCTCCAAGCCACTCTCTCTAGTAATGCAAGGTGCTAAAAGGCACTCTTGTAGCGGGGCGCTAACAACGTCCCTAGTGAAGGGGGCTAATCGCGCGGGACAGAAATACAACAATCCCTAATGAATGCGGGAGGTGGGATTGCAAAATTTTGTGATCCATGGAGATGCATCACGATCCAAGGAAGCTTCGCGGGTTGTTGGAGTGTCTTCTAGATTCTTCTTGCCTTTCCCCATTTTTTCTTTTGCCTAAAAGATTCCCAGAAGTCTATACATTGTTGTCCTCAGCATGTGGGAGTCAGTTCAAGTTGTGTTGGCTTAAGATCTTCTATGTGGAATCCCCTTCCCCTTTGTGGGTTGTATCCGAGAAGGTGGCGGTGCTCCAGCTTTATCCTCTCCGGGTGATGATTGTATTCTTCCCCTACCTTTCCCCAAAACCTTCTCCTTCCCCTTTTCCAGCTGTCAAACTCTCCCTCTACCACCCCAACACACCTATAACCCTACCTACTTGTAGCCCCTACAGTTCTGCGCCTCCCCTCACTGCCACCCGCATCTGTGACTATCATAATCCCTTCCAATCATTCTTATCCCTCTAACCGACCTTCACCACCCATTAGGATATATTTAGAGTGATTGCATGTGATGTGTATGTCGGTGTAACTTCCTGTTTGTGTCAGATTGTAACCCAAATTTTCTATTAATGAAAGTCTGCTTTTGTGTTTCCACTATTTTTCCTACGAGTTTCAATATAATTTGGTATCAGAGCTAGTCCAAACTTGGTACCATCTTCGGGTTTCCTAGCATCCGCTCCTACCCAAACCACCTCCACCAAATTTTTCCTTATGATTCCCAACCCTAGCCATGACACCGCGAAGAGGTACACTGAACTCGACTCAGGAAGAAATTCAACAAGAAATCTATCGTCTCCAGCAGAGACTGCAGAGCTGAATGACGGAAACTAGGAAGAGATTATCTTCAACCGAGATTCGGAGAGTCGAAGGGAGACAGGGACAAGGAGAATTTGTTCCACGCGGAAGATCACAGCAACGAGTAATATCGACCACGCCGTTTTGGTATCCAATATCAAAGGAGGACAAGAGAAGAAACCCCTTATGGAGGTCAGCGGGACTTCGACATCAAAATGGACCTCCAAGAATTTGAAAGAGGTATGGAATCTGATGAGTTTATCGACTAGCTATAATCAGTTGAACAAATTTTCAAATATAAAGATGTACCAGAGGACAAATGAGTCAAGCTAGTTGCCCTTAAACTAAAAAAATTCTCCTTATGGCGGTAAAATATGCAAAGGAAGAAGAGAAGAGAAAACAATGAGAAGATAACTAAGTGAGAGAAGATAAATAAGGTAAATCAAAAAAAGTACATCCTACTCCACTATCGTCAGGATATGTTTTTGAAACTCCACAACTCGCAGAAGAGGGATCTTTCAGTGGAGGAGTTCACAGCCCAATTCAATCACCTACAGCTGAAATGTGAGCTAATGGAGCTAGAGGAGCATATGATAGTCAGTTACCTCAGCGGTCTGAAACCCACCATCAGCAATGTGGTAGAATTGCAGTCATATTGGATGTTAGGGGGCGTCCAAACATTAGCCTTGAAAGTGGAGAGACGGTAGAAACAGAGCAAGCAAAAACCATCTTTCAGGCAACAAACTTTGAGCACGCAATCACCTACAGTTACCACGGCAGACAAGGGTAACTAAGGAAAAAATAACAAACCCGAACAAGAGAATGATACTCCAAATTACAACAAAAAGAAATAGAAGAAAGGTAGCTCCTCCAATATTATACCAGCAAAGAAATTTTTCAAATGTCACAGTTATAGTTACATAGCTTCCAGCTGTCCCACGAGCAGTGTAGTATCACTTACTCATCAGGGCGCCATGGAAGAGACTAGTGAGATGAAGAGAAAACTAAGGAACGGGGTGAGGTGTATCAGCTTCCCTCAAATGAAGGAGAGGCGCTTGTGATTCAACAGATCTTGCAGATTGAGGACATAAGGGATCCACAGCGACTTCGCCACAACATATTCTATACCTATTGCACAATAAACAGAAAGGTATGCAGTCTCATCATCGACTGCGGGAGCAACAAGAATGTTGCATCGACACGGTTGGTAGAGAAATTCGGACTTGCGACTTAGAAGCATCCCGAGTCGTATTCACTGACGTGGCTGAAGGAAAATTGGGTCAGCATCGACCAAAGATGCTTGGTAGAATTTTTGATCGAAGGCTAGCTACGGGACCAGGTGTGGTGTGATGTTGTCTTTATGGATAACTACCACCTTCTATTGGAAAGAACGATACAACCCGAGGTCAAAAGATCTCTTACCAGCAGAGCAGCATTCTTTAGGACCAGATTTAGTGGCAACACAGAATGAGTGGCTTGAGATACTGACTCCAAACAAGGGACAAATGCAACAGAGAATATTCCAAGGCCTCGTAGTTGATAACGTATCACCGACTCCACCACTGAGCACGAGGGTTCAGGCCATTCTCACGGCACATTAGACTGAACTGGAAGATAAGATTGACGTGGATGTTCGCTCATGAGCGGGAGAAGACCCTCAGATTCTTCGGGAGACAATGCAGTCATCAGTGGGATCCAAGGATGGCTGACGACGAAATGAAAGCTTCAAACTATGACGTGGAAGCACCCCCAACCTCGAGAGACTGATGATGGGGCGCTAAAAGGCGCCCCTAAAGCGGGCTCTAACTGCGCCCCTATAGTTGGGCGCTAATCTTGCGGGACGGAAAACCTATGATCCATAGCGAAGGCAGGAGGCGGAATCGCGAAATTTCGCAATCCATGGAAATGCATCGCCATTCAAGGAAGCTTCAAGGGTTGTTGCTATGTCTTATGTATTCTTCTAAACTTTTCCCCTGTTTCTTTTGTGTAGAAGTTTCCTAGGAGTATATAAATTGATGTCTTTTGTACGTGGGAGTCAGTTTTGATTGTGTTGGCTTCAAATCTCCTGTGTGGAATCCTCTTCCCCTTTGTAGGTTGTATCTGAGAAGGTAATGGAACTCTGGTTGTATCATCTCCAAGGTAATGAGTGTATCCTTCCCCTACCTTCCCCAAAACCTACTCCCAATTTTCCAGTCGTTGAACTCTTTCC